TGACTGTATAGCCAGCCAATACATCCCTAAAAACCGCGATATTGAAATGCGAGCTTAGCATAATATATAATGATGAAAGCAGGATTGATTAAATAAATTTCGCTGCTCTAACATGTATAGTTGCCATAATCGCCAGGTAAATCGTCATGTTCTATGAAACGTGGAATCGAGAGAAATGTTACTTAATTATTCGTCACGCTACTGGGATTCACACATTTCTCTCATCTATCCACTATGACGTCACGTGTCATCGGTTAGAAAGGACCCAAGGAGAACTGCATTTCTCACGGACGTAACCGCATTCTTTGCCTTTCGAAGGACGACGCGCGAACGAAGAAAGTCCCACGTGGATCTTCTTCGTAAATCCTCGAGTGTCATTGACGCTCGGCGTTCACTTCATTCCGCGAATCAAATTTTCTTACACTTTAGTCAGGATTTGAACGCTTCGTAGCGTGAAAGAACGCGAGGAATCGCATCGGCGATCTGCCCGAGCGCGTTTCGCTCTTTGCTTTTACAGAGTTACTGTGATGTAACAGGCGTGATGCAAACGTACGAAAACTCACGTCAAAGCAACGGCGGTATATGCTTACTGCCGTCGATTTCGTTCAAATCGCTAAAAGTTTCATCGCCCCGTCTTGCACGGCTCACGGGTGGTTTGCCAAAACACGCGAAGCGGCGGTTTCGAAATTTGTTAAAACTACCGTAATCGCGGAGCGTCGACCTCCGCCGAAGTCTGCTAAAACTTTCACTATTGCAGTGGCCCGGTCTCTCCGGAATTTGTCAGAAAGCCGTGCTGCGAAAAACTTTCTCGAACTGTTCGCCCTTGCGGGTGAAACTCGCGGGAAATGTAACAGAATTCGCGGCTAACGAGGATGACTTTGTTTCTGTTGCAGAAGGTGGACCCCGAGCTGATATTCACGAAACAAGAACGAATTGGGAAGGGTAGTTTCGGAGAAGTGTTCAAAGGTATCGACAATAGGACCCAGCAGGTGGTTGCCATCAAGATCATCGATCTCGAGGAGGCGGAAGATGAGATCGAGGATATACAGCAAGAGATTATGGTGCTGTCACAGTGCGACAGCCCGTATGTCACTAAATATTACGGGTCTTATCTCAAGGTAATCTCGAACGTTTAATTCTTTCACAGTTTTATATACGGGCGTGCGAAATTTCGCGTGTTACAACACAGCTTCCGTCTATTAAAAAAAATAATCACTCCAAGGTTCAGTACGTATTTGGTTCGAGTATATGAGAAAACTAAAAATTGTATCTCGGTGTTCTCTCTAATTTCATTTGCGGTATGAAACAGTCGATACCGTTTAATTTCACTTCGCGCACAGGCAAGTGCGGTTTGATTCGACACGTGTGCCTCGTAATTGAAAAACAGGGTGAGCCATGGCGGTTTTATGCAGGTACCTCGGTTAATCGCAGTCCGTCGATGCGTGCTCACCGTGGAACAAATTACCGTGGTCGGGTGTAAAAAGTTGTAGCCGAGTGAATTGCCGGTTGAACGAAAAATCCGCCGCGCGAGCCACGCCTTTCTGTTGCCCCGTTCCAACCCGATGGATGTTCACAATATTTTCGGAGGTGTAGCGCGAAACCCCTTTTTCGGTCCGCTATTACGGACACTCCACCAATACGCCCCCATCATTTTTCATACGCGAAGAATGGGAAGGGCTTGACGGTCGGTTAACCATCGCTTCCGGCTGGACAGTGTCGCGTACACGCTTCCGCTTCCTGCAAACGATTCGCCGTGCTCACTCGAAAGAGCCGTAGTATAAAATTGTGTCCAGACAGTTCGAACGTTACGCTCCACCATTTCGTTCCGTATTTCAATTCCAGCTACCCAATTTTTATAGAGAAGAGTAATATCTCGTCGAAGCTGAACAAACCGTTCAATTGATTTGAAATTGTTTAAAAAATACAAATCGCGCGTGCATAATTTTGTACAATTGAAAATCGGCATAAGTGTAGTAGTTTGAACGCTTCATAAGCTCCCAAATAGCATAGGCTAAATAATGCAATGAAAGCATCGGACTTAAACGACGCGTCGTGTCTCCGGCAGCGTCGAAAGCGTGCCGGGAACTTGCAGAATGCAACTTGCCACGGTTCACCAAACTCGCCTGGTGAGTGGTAACCTGTGTAGACACTCTTCCAAGCGTGACCCAACTACATAGTTACCTACCTCTCGTCTATTTCTTCTCTACATTAGATAACTGATACTGAAACATCCGTATCTGAACCACGCTGAGTCTTGATAACATCGCGAACAATCGGATGGTAACTAATGATTGCTAATGATCGTTTCGCGCGGTCATTAAGGAGAGCCCTCAGCGGAGTTTAATATTGGGCATCGCTTCATTTCATAGGTAATCATCTTAATTTTCCGCTTCCTGAGCTCGGAAGCGAAGAGTTCCCATCCCGTCCTGTCTCTGTAATCTGTTCGCTCGTTCTCCGAGTTCCCTGCGGGAAATCGGCGCACTTGTTTCTACCCTTGTCTTGAATTAACGTTTCTCCTGCTCTACCTCGCCGCTATCATACAGGATAATGAACGTTTTGATTCACTCCGCACTGTTATGAGGCGGGTGGATTTAACGCGTCGGTGCGTCGTCCTAATGGACCGAAATTATTACGTATATCCTTACGCAATGCATAGGATAATTTACGGAATTTACATAAATTAATATAGGAGGTAAAAGTAGCTGCATTATTTTGGTATAATGTAAATGGGAACAATTATATTGGACATAGAATATTTCGTCGTTTGCTAATCGCGAGGAGAGCGAACAAAGCCGGAAGGATTCCGTAGGATTGGTCGGTGTTAGTAGAAGATTACGGCCTTACGTCAGGCGCGAAGTATGTATGTCTTCCATATTGATTTTTCAGGAATCGCTTCGTGCCACGGTAATAACGGCATTAAATCGATCCTCGGCCGCGTGTTGCGTACGATTATATCCCACGGCACGCGGCTATTGTGCCGCCATTAATCATAGCTGCGCGCACAAAAGGATCCTCGGTCCTCCGCAATCTCATTCTCGATGGGTAGTGTATGCCTATTCTTCATCGACGAAATGAAAAAGGACGCGACGAGAGCGAACAAAAGCATCGGCCCTCTTCCGGAGATTTCCTCACGCTCGCCTACGAGATTCCATTTTCCATCGCGTCTCCCGCCTCCCCCTTTTCTGCTCGTTCGCACCCAAGCATCCTTCTCTTTGCTTTCTTCAATAGGCGAACAATGCGCAAAATCGATGACACATCCATGATAATTGTCGCTCCAAAAGGTGCTGCGTGGTGTCTACGTTTAATATTTAAAAATTAATTAAAAATGCTTAGTATTGTTTTTAATTTAATTCTTCACCGTTTTATCTGTGCCTGGCTAACAGTTCGTCGTTTCAAGTAAGACTGTAGCTCGCGAGTATCGATTCTAATCCTCTTCATCAGTTTAATGGACTAAGGGGTTAATTCAGGTAGCACTACGTGGGCGAGACGAGTCGAAGAAAGGCAGCAGGCTAAATGAAAGCCAGCATATTTTTTTTCATGAACACGTATCCCTAAGCTTTTACCCCGTTGCGTTACCGAGCCATGACGCGTACCGTCTGGTTTCGAAATCGCAAACGAGAGTAGTCTGGGTTTCAACAGTTTTCTCTCGATCAGACGAGGAAAGCTCGCAGACATATTTCGATTCGGGTTGGCAGGTCGAGGCGAGCAATAACAGTCATCGCGCTTCGGCGACGACACTCCTTACTGTTTCTCAATCCGGATGCGCTGGGAATGATGAGGGGCGTCTTCGTCGTGACGGTATCGCTGCCTTCGCATAGTTTTCCCTCCGCCTCACCGTCTCTTTTTAGACTCGAATTATTCCCGCTATTGTCATCTTTTCGAGATGTCGCGTTATTTAATACCTACGTTCCTCCTCCTCGAACAATTACAAAACTAGTCGATTGAATATTTTAAACGTAGAAAATACTCGCAATCTCGATCGATGAATGTAATTAACTCGTTGAACTTTCGTATTTTCTCTTAAGATTAATTAATATCTTTCCACCCCCGGAAGTTTACTTTTTTCTCTCGGTTGAAGGAGAACTCTGGTAGCGATTCGGGTGCGATTCGAATATCGGTACAGCATCTAGGCGTCGAGAATCCTGCAGCATTCCCCATTGGCGTCTTACTTCCCTATTATGCTCGGTTCATTGTTTCGCGAACAAAAGACGATCCTCCCGCGACGCGTACTTGTGCCGTGCTCAGACTGGAACGAGCATCTCAGATTTTATGAATGAATAAATCTAATTGGACGTTTATTACGCGATCGCTCGGCTTCGGACGCTAAACGATTGACCTGTTAACTAAATTGCGATCAGCTCGTCCTTGTACTTTTTAATTATCGATTAGTTCGTCCATCTGTTTATTCAACAGGAATACCTGTATCGTTCGACTTCTACTCTCTTCCATGATTTTCAGTTCTCCCTGTCTTGATCTGCGAGATATTCAATAAAATGAGTCGTATGTGGGTTAAGCAGATCCCCGGGCGTAGATAGCGAGCCGGTAGCTTCCTTTCAAAGGTGCAAGTGCAAAATTAATACAGACAGAAGTAATAACCGTGAATCACTCTGCGCGCGAAAAAGGATCCGAACGTAACCCGAAAAAAAGATGTTCGTGTTAAAGACGACGACGACTTTATGTAACCGTATTACGACTCCTCGCTGCTATTATTAGCCGACCAATTTTCTAATGGCTCCAATCTCCACGATTTGACGACCATCCAAGAACACGCCACGTTACCGCGCTACCTCACAGCGACGATGAATTTCTTTTTTCTCTCTCTTATATCGTAACAACCGCCCCTCTTTGCGTCTTCTTCGTTTCATAGCAATTATGTCTAATTGACAGTCCGCTGAAATCGTCCGCTTTCACTCTCGTTCTAGCAGCGCGCCAGCCGATGTCGACAGACTTCCACTGTTAATTCGACGTTTCTTTCTTCCTCCTCTGCTTATCCTTTTGTATGTATCCTTTATGCAAAAACTCCCCCGTATCTCGCTGCATCCTGGTACCCGATTAGCGTTGCTCAACACGACGCGACGCGACGTCACGACTTCGGCCTGAAGAAACCTGCGCTGGAGAATTTACAGTAACGGGACTGCTAAAATGGGGTCGATTGTTTCTAATGATCGAATTCTGTGTTCTGTATAGAAAAAAACTTCTTCGTCGTTATTTACCGGCAATTAATTGCACATTTTCCAAATCCAGTCAGTGAACAGTCAAATGAAAAGAGTGGGACGGAGGCAGTTAGAACAAGCATGCGAGACTCGAAAATCGCGCGAGCGAAGATTAATTCTGTCGCATCGTTCATCACTGCCACCGGCACGCTTGCCGTTTTGCGAAACGCAGGAACAAAAGGACACGCGCGATAGAGAGAAGCAAAATCGGCCATTAATCACGCGTTCGTCCGGCATGTTCCTCTTGCTTTGCTTTTGCCTCTATCTGCCCGTTCACCGATGGCGACAGACTGGAAATCGCGCAATGCATATTTGCACGACCCGTGCGTCTTGTTGCGTTTCATTTCAAACATCGTTCACCGGCGGTGGTTGTTTTTCTTGACATCGAAACGCGCTTGATCGTTCCCAGGATTAGAGAATCGACGTATCAATTGATTCGACGTTTATTTTAGATCCGTGTCACCTGATGGACATTTCTATTGTCACACGGATTTGGCATGGATATTCGCGTATCACGAGAAACTAAACGGCGGGCGAATTCATCGTTTATCAGACATGTCGCTTATTTTTATACCTGCCGCTTTTCAGCTCCTCCTCAAGAATGTTTCTGAATGCGACGTGGCACACTCGTGACGCCGCTTGTTTTTTATTCCCAGGGAACATTCATCAAACAGAAAAGCATTTTTCCCCTCTTCTTCCTCTTTCTTTCTTTTTTTTGTTTTTGTTTTCTCATTCAGTAATCATCTCTCCCTCTGAGATAAAAGAATCGTGAGGAAGAATTATGCAAAGGGATAGCGGCACGGCGCGTCGTGGAGGACGAAAAGACGCTACGGGCAACTATAGAATTTTGCTTGAACCACTCGCCCCTAGATTATCGGGTCTCTTTTTCTTACTGTCCATGTGAAATAAAATCGGAATGCTTGCCTTGATTGATGATCGCAACGTTGTTGAATAAGCAAGGAAGGATTCAAGAACGCGGTGGCACGGACAGGTCGACGAGTCTTACAATTTTCTTTGGATAGTAGTTTGCATTTTTATCATGACCGAGAGTAATTATTAATCTTCACTCCGTGTTCATTAATTAAGAGCAACTTGGTCTACGAAACACGAAAGGAAGATGACATTCTTCCTTGTGGGAGGAATAATGAAGAGAATGGGAAAAGAAAGAACGGAGGAAGATAATTGAAGAGCGGCAGTTTTTCCTATTTTCATCCCTATGGCGAGACACTCGTGAACCCGAAGCGAGGAATCCTTCGACGTGAAAAAGAACAAGAATGAGAGCCTGCCGCTAGCAAAGCAAAATGCAAGTGAAAGCATCGTAACGCCTCGCGTTTACTTCACCGCCCGACCACCTCTTTCCATCCCTTTTCGGTTCTCGAAGTGAACGCACGAGGCGGAAGGAGGAAGAAGTGTCTACCGGATAGGGGGGAATGATTTAGCAACCCCTCGTTTTGCGTCTGCAGAAGTGGCCTGGTTGAAAACCGGGTTGAACGAACCCTCGCGAGCCTTGGCCACCTACGTCGACACGTGGATCTACATGAGAATAAACGCAGTCGGGCTGCATTGCGCCTTCTCTGACCGTAGGACGATGATAAATGGTACCATTTTATGGGCAAAGATACGCGTACACTACGGAGGTTCGGCTATGAATGTAGAACCACTAGCCGAACCCCGAGCTCGGCTACGTGAAAATTATACCCCATAAAGTGCCAAGTGCTGTCAACCTCGACGTCCGCCGTGATGGCTGGAACATGATCGAGAGATCTTCAGGAGTACTCCCAAGAAGATGTTCTCGCTTCTTCTCGTTTTCTTCTCTCTCGCGCTTGATTTACAGTCTCGATACTTCTCGTTGATGCCTGGCTACGATTCTAATGGATTTCCCTTGCAAATTTCTCTCTGCTATTATACCGTCGCGGCATAACGATCGCTTACGATTTTTTAGCTCCCGATGCTTTGTCACGATCAGGGCTTGAGCACGGACCTTAACATCGGTGATTCCGTTGAACCTTTGATTTGTTTCTACAACGATGTTAACTCATCTCGAATAACATTCCCTTTTCTATCGTTGCCGTGCTCGAAGGCGATCAAACCGGGGCTATATATATTAAATAGTTCAGAGTCATCATCCCGACCTCATCGCGATCCTACCTGCTTAATGATTCCTTCACAACCGGATGACCAAAGAGCGCGAATCCTTGTGCGAGCCACTGGTTAATCCGTCGATTATGAGGACGCGATTATCGAATACCGATGAATCAACCTTGCGCAGGTGCATGAGCCCGAGAATGCAGTGATTGAACATTGACGTCGAATATAATTATCGACAAAGAAGCCGGCTTTATCGATGCCGCGTGTTAAAACGACAAAAATTACCGTTACTAATAAAGACGCATCGTTTTACAAATTGCATACGCTTATATTTTTTAATTCCTGCTATGATAATTCAGTTAATTTACATGGATTTCCTCTTTCATTAAAAATTTTGCGGGATATCTCTTATATTACCGTCTTTCATATTGAGATTCGAGATGAAAGATTGGCTGACAATCTCGAGACACGGACACAGATAAAGTTCCGAGACTCAAAGCACAGTACAGTGGGTTTCGTACAGCGTGGATCTTCCTCTGTTTGCAGGGAACGAAACTATGGATTATTATGGAGTACTTGGGTGGCGGCTCGGCCCTGGACTTGATGAAGGCCGGTAGCTTCGAGGAAATGCACATCGCAGTGATATTGCGTGAGGTGCTCAAAGGGCTGGATTATCTTCACAGTGAACGGAAACTTCATCGCGATATTAAAGGTACATTTACCAACCGACAACCAAAAAGAGAAAATACAGAAGGAAATTAATTCGCTTTTAGCGTTCCGTTAACGGGAGAGAAAACCGCTTTGTCACGTGGCACCGAGAGAACGACAAATATTTTGTCTCCTTTACACTAAACTTGTCTTTATTGTTTGTTTCAAAGCGGCGAACGTTCTGCTCAGCGAAATGGGTGACGTTAAATTAGCCGACTTTGGTGTCGCCGGACAGTTGACCAACACGACCAGCAAACGGAACACTTTCGTCGGTACACCATTCTGGATGGCACCCGAAGTCATCAAGCAAGCTTCCTACGATTCCAAGGTAATTCGCGAAACACGAACAGGATATGGACAACGTCCCCTTAGTTCTCGGTAGATTTTTCATTTTCGCTGTGTCTCGTACTCGAGGGCATCGCACGCGGGTTACAGTCCGGTCACGTACCTTGGGAGATTTAATTTTATTACCTACCTCTGAGTTTCCGTCCCTAGATTCAACATGGTTACGTTGTTTACCTCTTTGCGGTCTTTCCTGGAAACTTTAATCTCCCTTCTCTTTAACCGTACACTCTCCTTGCTGTACAGGAGAAACTGTACACCGCGTCGGAGGGTCAGATGTTTTTCTGAATAACAAGCATAAATTCGCTTCACTAGAGAATAATTAATCACGCTAATAGGAATAGATTAATGCGAGCGTAGGGTTAACTTTGATAATCTCCCCTCTGTTCAACGGTATACGCTGTGTATACAAGAAACCACACGCTCCAAGAATGCAAATATATTTTTCAACAACATACACTATTTCGCTAAAATTAATCGTGCTAATAAAACCGGATTAATGTGAGCACAAAGTTTATTTAGAGAGTCTAGGACCGACAGTATACTGCAACTCTCCGCGAGGAGTTCCTGGAAAGCGCGGAGAACGGTCGCGTCGTGATTAGCGTGCGATTATCACCTCGCGCGTCGTAAAGCAGAGAACGCTTGTTCCGTAGGCTGACATTTGGTCGCTGGGCATTACGGCGATCGAATTGGCTAAGGGAGAGCCGCCAAACAGTGAGCTGCATCCCATGAGGGTCCTGTTTCTCATACCGAAGAACAATCCACCCCAACTAACCGGAAATTACACGAAGCAGTTCAAGGAATTCGTCGAAGCCTGTCTCAACAAGGACCCCGAAAACGTGAGTTGATTCCCATCTAACGACACGACGAACCTGCATTTCAGCTCGGAAAATATCTGTGCACGCATCACTTTATTAATTTTCGCCCTACAAGCATGTACTTCGTAAAGAATCTTCGTCAATCCGAAGTTCTCAATAGTCTTATTAGTGTTGTAATACCTCGTAATTTTTGTTTCTTTTTTCGCATTCTCAGAGGCCAACAGCGAAAGAGCTGTTAAAGTTCCAGTTCATCAGGAAAGCGAAGAAGAACTCGTACTTGATCGATCTCATAGACCGATACAAAAAGTGGAAGTCACAGCGCAGCGAGGAATCCGAAACAGAGAGTGAAAATTCGGACTCGTAAGTATGAGAGTGTCTCGTAAGTATGAATAGAATTGAAAGGTAACTCAATAGTACGTTGATCGGTTCTAGGGAGGAATCTAAGCAGGATAGCGACATGGACGAGCCGTGGATAATGACCGTGAAGGGTCCGCACGGGGTAAAGGGTTCTGTGGTACCGATGCTACCGCTCGATGAGCAACCGACCTCGTTGACTATCACACACACGCCGAACCATAGATCCACGAATCACAATCAACAGGCGAAGCCTCATGCGAACGGTGCCTCGAGATCTCCGCCGAAGGATTCCACGCTGAATCACTTGAGAAGTGAGTCGAGAGACTCGGTACGCGATGGTCAAGCTAAGCATACACCGGTGAGTGTTCAGTCTTTTATAAAATCATTCATTTCACTACTCGTCCGCATGGTTTCTGTGTAATAAAGAATTCAATACAAGGATGAAGGACGAAGTTTATGTTTCTCTCAAGGGATTCTCCGGTCGGGCGACCGACGCAATTTTACGAATCGGTGTCTTTTATGACCGATTTATTTTCATGGTCATCATAACTGGAATTTAATTATGATTTCTAGTCCCGACCACACGAGGCCGCGCCACCGCCGCCCGTGGATACACGAGAAAAGCGAGAGGACCGAGATTACCGGGACTTCAATCGAGATTCCTCATTAAGGGAGTTGAAGGAAATGCGCGATAGTAGGGAAAGCAGAGATGGACGAGACCGAGAAGGACGGGAAAGGGAAAGAGAGAGAGAAAGGGACAGAGACAGGGACAGAGAACGAGTGTTCACCGCGAAGGTGAAGATGAATAGTAGTAAACCGGAAGTACCTGTCGTGCCTATGGTGGATCATAGGCCGGGTGAAGAGAAACAGCGACCAAGGAGTTCGCAGGAACTGAAGCATCCGTGGAGCGCGGCTCTTTCCAGTGTCCTTTTACCTTTACTTTCCGAGGTAAATAATTTTCTCCTAGAAATGCATCGCACAGAATAACCGATCGAATATGTTCTGAAAATATCGATGATTTATGAGTACTTTAAAATGACTTAATTAGTTACGTTCTGAGTTGGCAACAGATCGCTGACAGCCAAAGAAGCAAAAATTTATTGCTTATACCACTCCTATTGTCTCGCAGCTTCAACGGAAACATCAATATTCGGCAAGAGACAATAATGGCGAGGGCGGAAGCGGCATCGGTAAGAACAGTGGAGCGATAGAAGAGCTACGTAACGCTTTCGAAACAGCGGAGCGTACTTCACCGGGAATGACCGAAGCCCTTATTAGGGAAATCCTCAAGTCCTTACTTCCTACTAATCACTCAGAGGGTCGTTTGTCTATGTTGTTGGAAAAAGTGATCCTGAGGTAATCATTCTGAAGATTGTATGCTTTTGCATGAAATACTTTTTTGGTAGTTTACTTCTTCCAGTGCTTTATTTAGTACGTCATTAACTGTTATTAGCCGCGTTTATCAAAGTATAATGTATGAATTTCTTTTAGGGATACGTAGGGACGCGAGAGAGCGAGGGTTCGCAAGAGATTGTGGTCCGAAAACATCCTGACGTTGTAACGATTCGTTATTTCTCGTTTATCAGAGTTATTAATCTGTGTGATGCTGGTACGTTGTTGAAAATTGCCGGATCCGAAAGTGAGAGAAAAGTAGAAGGAAGATCGCCGCTGCAACGGCCCGAATATTTTCTTTCCCTTCAATGCGCAAGAATTAGACTCGACACAAGAAAGCGTGTCATACTTTTATCTAATTATCCCGTAACCTTGCTAATTCAATGCGAACATAGATAGAGAGATGCGATATTATAGCGATGTTTTGCCGCGTGAAATTCATTCATTTTAAGAGCGATAATATCTTTTTTTATGTTCAAAGAAAAAATTAGAAATTTACCTATCACAGTAAAAAAAAAGGAAGGAAATTATACCATCCAATCACCCTCGCGCAAGGATGACAGTTACCGTTAACTTTTAAAAAGATATTAGTCCCCTGTCGTTGAGAAAAGTTAGTATTTGGAAAAATTAAGTAAAAAAACGAGCAAGAAAAATGTAGGAGATAGTTGAAAGATATTTTTGCAAATCATGCAACCAGCCGTTCAGGATTGTACGTTCTTTGTGTTCGGTACCGATGCAACCTCAAAGAGCGTATGACATAGCGTAGGTACATCCGTGGTCCGATGGATGGTGAAGGGGTATTCGTTGAAAGGGATCTTGCCTCAATGTAGATACGTCCGGAACATGCACTATCAATTATCAATTATCAATTTTATTTGAATAACGTTCCAAATCACAGTTTCGTTCAGACGAATCATCGAATTGTACGAGGATCGTGATTTCCAGCAGATAATAATTAAAAAATATTTATTTTAACCGGATAATTATGTTGAAAAAGAAAAAAAGACAAGAAAAACAGAAGAAGAATCCGCATTATTAGAAAGAAGCAGAGCTCCCCTTTAAATGAACGCCTTCCCGTTGCTTCCCGCATTAGTGCACGTTTCGGATTCAGGGAATTAACAATTGAAAGAAGGGACAGAGTGCCTCCATGCCAGAGGCTTTTGTAAATATGTATGTAGCACGATAAGATAGTCTTATTGTTCTAATGATCGACGTCTCTGCCAGTCGGTTGCGCAGCTCTGTAACGCAGTTCCGTTTTACCTCCAATATACTTTTATTATCATTTTCCGTGATCAACTAACAAAGCGGAGAAAAAAGAGTGGGAGGTCAAGAATGAAATCATGTGTTTGTGATTTTAATACGTTTAAAGGATTCAGAAGGAACATGAAATGTAGCGTAATGTATTTATCGAGTACTTCGCACGAGTGATAACGCGGAATATTCGACCGTGATCGCACACGAAAACGTGCATTCTTTTTTTCGAGCTAGAGTTCTTCCACTAGTTTCGCCCAAATAGATTTATTCGTCGAGACGTTCTACTGATGGAATCTGAGCTGTGATAACTCCCGCGAGACGTCGGCACTTAATCCACGTTGTTTGTAAACTAATGTATTTTATAAAGTATATTATATATACATAGAGAGAGAGAGAGAAAAAGAAAAAGAAGTAGAAAGACACGAAGATATTCCTCGTGACAATTATTGGATAAACAGAGAAATTTTAATTAAATCGCCGAGGGTCGTCATCGTGTCACGCAGGATGGTCGCGAAGAAGCAAGGATATATTGCGACCACACTTTATCCTTTCTGTTCTGGGATATTGGTGTGCCATCCTGTACTATGTGGAAGATTAAAATGAAGAAAACGTAAGAGGGTGATAGAGTGTGAGAAAAGGGAGAGTGAATGAAGAAGAGCAAGAAGATGCGCGTATGTGTGAGAAAAAGTGCGTAAGGAATAAGAGGTGATTTGATGAAAAAAAGAAAGGAAAGTGTTTAACGCTGTACGAGGGTGGAACTAGCGTAAAGTTGTAACGAAAATATAGTATTAATTGCCAGAAAGGAGTGCAGAAAAAAGAGAGGCGTCATAGAGAGACCTAACTATGGTAAGCCCGCAATACAATATTTACGTAGTTGCGTTTTAATTCCATTCAGCGAGGTGATCGATGGGAGAGAGCCGTGAACTCCTGCTATTATTATTATTATAATATTGTCAACGACGAATGAGATAATTGTTAGAACTGAACACCTCTGATCTCCACTCTACCGCATCCCTTTTGTTCTCTCTTTTACGATTTGTCCCCTGTCGCCCATAACATATTTAATTTTTCTTTTTCTTTTCGTTCCTTTTTTCTGAACCAGAAGACGGAAGAGGAGGAGATAACAGAAAAAATAAGTAGAAGGATTTTATTGTTTCTTAGTTGAATTACATTAGTTGATATCACTACACACTACTGTTAATAATTATGGATTTATTCGTCTTTATTGTTGATTCACCGTTGGGTCAGGTTTTCTTTTCGATGACTTTTAACGACGGTCGCTACCCCAGTCATCCTCATAAAGCTGCCATAAACGCTTACCGGCTACGCTCTAATAAAGAAATCAGAAAACTCGAAAGGTTTCAACGAATTATCTTCCCGTTTCTCTTCTTCCGAATCCTTATTTACAACAAACGAACTTAATCCTATGAAAAGAGAGTCCACGCTATAATTCGTGAAACGTTTAATTCTACAGAGTGCTGTCCCTGAACTATAATCTATTCCTCCTAGGTGTTCGTGTTTTTTCACTCGCGTATCGAACGTATGGCTGTGTAAGCAATATGTTTAATCGCCGGGGATCTGAGGCGTAGCGGTCGATGTTACATTTTTAATTAATCATCGATCATAACGAAATAAATTTTCGAAGGGTGATCCACTGTGAATAATTATTACTAGCTCATGATCAGTACGATCATTATCTCTTTACATTCATTTAAGGGCTTCTATTTCCGTTTCATTTCGACAGCAATAAATTTAGATAGCGCGCTTCTAGTTGTACTAATAGTATTTTTAATCGAATGAATTCTTTAGACACTAATTACTAAATTATTAAAATCGTATATAAAGAACATTAACGTTACTACGAAAAAGTCTCTCTTTGTGCGCGTACTTCCGTTTGAAGCATACAGAAAGTAAACCGATTTTCTCATAGAACCTCATTCTGTTTCTGAGGTGTATTTTTTTACGTGTATTTCTACATAGCCATACGTAGTGTTGTAAAAAGGAAAAAACTTGTCTCATTTTTCGTCGAACGCTTGGAATCGATCAAAGCTTTCTTTCCTTGCAAATCTTTTAACAGGTCATCGTAAGGACGCTGTGATTTAATTTTCTTCTGTTTGAAAAGACCGTTCGTTGCTTTCGGTTACACACGATGATACAGAGTGAGAATTTGAGAAACAAGGACCGTTTCTCTTAGCGATCTCGTGATCAAACGCTGAAGAGCATCCATAAAAAGACCGCATCATGTTCAATCCGAATTACGTGTCCTACCGTAATCAGCACTCTTCTTCTTCTGTATTATATTATTAGCTATTACCCACAATATATTCAGCGTTATAACATCGTGGTAATAATAATATTAAATTTCGACGTAGAATATAAATATATAAATATATAT